TATATATATATAGTTCATATTCACATCACTCTTGTTTGTACAGTCTTCTTTCTGTCCTGGCGTTATTATTCTGGTGAGTCCACACGGAGGGAGGGAAGCACTGGTTTTGAGTTTCGATCTTATTAAAGCTCATCAGTAGTACATATCCAATAGCCGTGTCGGGGTTTAAAGGAAATCTGATGAGTCCACACCCAAGGAGGGAAGCACTGGTTTTGAGTTTCGATCTTATTAAAGCTCATCAGTAGTACATATCCAATAGCCGTGTCGGGGTTTAAACTGCGGAAATCTGACACGCGAGACGAGCGTGTTCCCAACACTCCGCCAGTGCACACTGGATGCATTTGAATTTTCTCCTCTGAACAGGCGTACGTGTTCACACTTGGGCGATGTGGTTGGTATGCCGTACTCATCGAACGACGAGCCAGTAACTGTCCTGGTTGTGACGATCGATTGACCCGCCGGGCAGGACTTCCCAGTCAGGTAACACCGCAGATGCTTGAGACCCGCTGGATACTTTGATTTGAGCTGGCTGAGAATCTTGCAGAACTCGATGGGTACGATGGGTTTAGTAGTGGTTTGGATGGTCTTTGGGGAAGAGTGAAACAGAACTTGCCAGAAGCCAAGCCATATTTTCAAGCTTTATGTCAAAGGTCGCTTGCATACCCGAATAAACACCCGACCTCGTCACGATTAGCAGCTCTGATTGAATCTAGGAAAATTATGATGGCATGAACAGACCTTTCAAGCGCTGAATAATGGATTGTCCAAGGGTAGATAGAGTACTGGTAGATCCAAAACGCCCTGGAAATGGTTTACATCCTGCACTCTTCAGGTGAGTCTGTCCAGGTTAACATAACGACTCTGCTCCAAAATACCTAGGATGGGGAAAAAACTTCCAACAGAACGGAACGCCTCGACGGTGATTCCCACGTTCAAAAAGGGTGGAAGAACACGGTATGGAAACCACCGGGGCACCAACCCAGTGGTTTTACCTTCCAGGGTTTTTTTCGGTATATTTGGACGCAGGCGGATCAGGAGAGCCGGATTTCCGGGAACCAAGCCTGGTTTCACCCTGCCCGGTCTGCCATCGATCGTATCCTCACTATACGACAAGTACTGGGACTACGCCACTCTTTCCTACGACCAACAAATGTTTTCTTTCTCGATATCAAATCTGCTTTTGACTACGTTGATCGTCAGAAACTGTGGCAGTGTTTGGAGATGAAGAGTGATCCTTCTAAATCGCCTGTTATAAAGGCTGTACATGCCGTGGACGCGTTTTCGTCCATGGTAAATCACCTGCTGAGTTCACCACATTCACTGGCGTCATGTAGGTATTTTCCCTTCTGGGAGCACCAGATAAGTTAGGCTGAGGTATGCCATGTGGTTTTCGGAAATCTCATTTTCCCTCGATATATTAGCTGGTCACACTCCGTAAATTGCGTCGTTAGGCCATGTAATTCTTACACCAGAGAACAGCTAGCCGCGTAGAGCCCTTTTTACCCAGCCTAGTGTCGGATAGAGACCACCCAGGGATTGTCCGTTCATGACTTCTCAACGAAGCATGAAAAGCCTCACCAGTCAACTGGGTCGTGTTGATGACTACCGTCTCTCCAGATGTGAATCGTGTACGGGACAAATCAGTGGTTGGTTACCCTGGCAGATACGACCGTGTCATGCAGCCAGTGGTGGTGTTGCATCAAAGCTACTGCTTTCACTGGATTGCTACCACCTCACGTCACATCGGACAAACGAAACCGTTTGTCCTCAATGGACAAATAAGCACATCGCCTCCCGTTTCCTCATTTTCCTTATCCTCAGTGGACGTAGCCGTTGCACCCCGGTGCAAAGCTTGCGAGCTGGAAAACTGAACAGAAAGTCTTGTGAAACTGTTCTTTCACAAGACGAATGAAGCTTCTATCTGAGAAGTCGTCAGTGGAGAAGTTAGTCAACATCGTATCGCATGTTTCGTTACTTGATGGCTGAGCGGCACTGTATTCTGTTTGAATGCGAGTAAATTACACGATTGATCAGCTGTCGAAGGCCAAGTGGTCCAGTGTTTAGACGTAGCCATGAAGTGGCGGGTCCAAGACTTCCTCGAATTTTGTGAGATGCGCACGACTGATAATTCCTAATAAGGATGAAACGGTTGCACAGTGCTTCTCGGTTTTTCGGTACAGATTGGTTTCACTTGCGAGACGAAACCTCAGTTGAATATCTATACATCCGCCTTTTCTCATCGGTCTGCCTTCGCTGTGAGTGTCTCACTGTTTTGTTCTCACCAGCCTCTATTAATATTTTGGTAGATTGTGAATACATTCGTAGTTTTCTCGCTCTCTCTACTTGCTGCTTCATGCACCCTTACCAACTGGTCCCTTCGACTCACTCGTCCGCTACGTGTTTTTTCCTTTTGTAAATCGTACGTCCAGTATGATCACTACAAATTGCATCCTAGCATACCATTTTTACTTTTCAATGCAAAGAACAAGCTGTCCGAGATGTGCAGATGGGAAAACTCCTGCGTCCGTTCCTTCTCCGCCGTACCAAACAGCAAGTTCTATTGGACTTACCACCGCGACTGGATTTGCTGATCTATCATTCTCTAACGCCGCTGCAGACAAAAATCTATCGAGCCCTACTAACCCGTAATGCAGGTTAGTTGAGTCGAATTTTTCACTGGTGGTCACTATAGCTTTGTTTTTACGGCCGTTGTCCATGAATCGAACTCATAAAGGTTGCCTTTTTTCAGAAGATTGAATTTGTGGACCGTGGGGTAATGACCACTGTCTCTGATAGTGTCATTCCACAGAGCAGACACTAAGAAAAATTCTTGCACTTCAGTAGGTAGGATCCTTGTTGAATAACATGGCGTCTCGAATGTATCCTGAAGAGAGAACGCGCTCAAAATATCCTCACTTCGTTTCAGCGGTGATAGTTCTTCTGAATCTCACGAGATACTGTTGTACTGCACAAATCTAGGGAGGAACGATTAAAACATGGAAGACTACATCCAAAATACGGACCTGTCGGTCCCGAACGATTTCGCAATCTGGTGAACGCTGTCAAGACTAGCTTCTCAGTGTAAATTTGTCCAGTAGACTTAGCTTTGGTTTCCCGTGAAGGATGATGTGCCTAGAAATCCGTATTCTTCTCTCATCCCTCGCGTCGATCAACACATGTTTTAGTAGCGACCGCTCATACCCGCCTTTGGAAGAGAATTCTACTTTTGCCTGGCCTTCTGATCCACTAGACCGACATTCTGGTTTCCTGGTTCACGATCATTGGTCCGCGAACAGTTTACTCAATAGGATTACCAACGGAGACCTGCGTGATTTTTGGGGACGAAGAGGAAACTTCACTATCATACCTTTCAGTAAATTGTTACCTGCTGGAAGGAGAGACAGGAAGAATTAAAGAAACAAACCTCTTTGCGGCATGGTGAAATATGTTTTCTTCATTTGATTCTCGTGCCGATGATTGGTCATTGCCTTTTTATCTTCGTTCCAGATGTACTGACATCTGTTGTTAGTACGGAAATCGGTGCCCCGCGAGCGAAAGTCCCAACCTATCGGGTGACTAATTTGTTGATGCAACTGCGGAAGTGTGTCGATCACCCATACCTGTTCGACGGTAATTTTTCACGCAGCATATTGCACTCACTCAGTCTTTATTTGTATATCAGTATTTCCCAGGGTGGTTGCATACTTTTACTCATTACGAATAAATTCCGCTACGGCCATTGGATATGCACTGCTGATGAGCTCTAATAAGAGTGAAACTTGAGTGCAGCGCTTCCCCTTTCCGCTTGGTATAAACTCACCGGAATAATTACGCCAGAACACGAGGACGACTGTTCAAACGAGAGTGTTGTGATCGGATGGGAGCACCGTATTACAAAGAACATGGATGCTTGGTCCTTAACATTTGCCTTGTGTAGCGGTGTTGTTATTCGTGATCTGTGTGTCCGTCAGACCGATGCCCCGTTGCGTCAAGAGCATCTACCCAACTAACACCATCGCTCCGTGATGCTGAGGCTTCCCAACACTACTTTTTGAGTCTTTTATTTACACTCACTGTTGTCCCATCTCAGACCAGAGACACATTATCGGGCATCGAGTTGTTCCGTTAGAACCCGAATTCGATTTGACTGGTGGAGAAGGATGAAAACTTGGTGCATCACTCCACTTTGTACTGTCCTTAGATGTGTAACGACTAGATGTTTCTTATTTGGAGTCGCCGTATGTGCACTCGATACAAAAGTCCTTAAGGCAGACTTAAATTTCAATGCATACTTGTGGGACTGTCAAAATGATCGTGTTTAGGACCGTTACTAAGAGGTTGCCGTGACTTGTGTTGTCTAGAAACTACGTCACTGATGCACAGACACTTTCAATTACGTACGAATTAAAACCATCATCATCGCGAATGTGGGACGTGCTCAGCGTTAAAACGCTTTATAATTTTAAATCCCTCATGAAAATCTTTAACAGGAATAACTGGTGGAGTGCACCGCGACCTGAGCTAATGTTTTTAATGTGACGTTTTGTAAAATGTGCAATGTCTCCATCGGGATCGTTAACGGAGCGACTGATTCTGTGGAATTGGAGAAGACCGGAAAGATCAACCCGTAGCATCGGTGACCCGAAAACTAGGTGGTGATATTAGCGCTGTCCATGTGGGGGATATGTGCTCACTATCACTGAGGCCACTGTACTGTCTGATATTATGATTTAAAATTCGGTGCCCAGACACTCGATCGTTTTTCAATTCTGCACAGTACCCTTTATCTAATGCATGAACAACGATGGCTAAGTGACGTCAAATCACCTTCAGCCGTGCAGTACCATCAAGGATTATGGGATTGTCTCTCATCCTTGATTCGTACCCTTAGTGACTGAAAGTTTGTCCCTTGTGGAATTAAGCACTTCGTCCGTTGTTCTAATCTTCGAAAATGGTGCAAAAAATCTTGCGGAAACCATCGGGATATCAGCCTGGTGGCTGTAGAATCTGAGACGCTCTGTATCATTTATACGGTAGGCTTTCGTTTGAACTCACCACATCCAGTGGTACAAGGTATGGTTGTACCCTTTCACCATTCCTCCTCAACTTTGTTGTTGATATGCTGCTTGAAACCTCCCCGACCGCCTCTGTCAGATCGCGGTTCAAAATGCTCCCGAGATATTGGCTACACAACCTGCATTGTTTTGATTGGTTCAGATCTTTCAGATGTTAGTTATTTCTGAATGAGCTCAATAATACTGCCACATTTGCAAGTGTTAAGCGCATACCAAAGTTTCAGGTTTTGCTACTGGCCTAGGTAGGATCAGACCCAAACCTCATGGTTACAGACGAGCCAACCGGCGTGGCAGATAATTTCTTACCTGGGCACTGTATTTCGGCCGACTGACTGAAGACGGGATCCTTCACGAATCGGGAAGACCAGAGAGGATCTTACCAACCTTTGACATTTGAGGTACCGGCGCGAGGTCATTTTGTACCAAGCAAAGAGTGTACACTGTGGTAGTGCACTCCGTGGTGCTTCTTGACTCATACGTGGAATCTGCTTGCAGGACATATACGTAAATCCTTAGCGTTTGACCATCATTGTCTCTATGGCACCGGTCAGATCTGATTGGGACGTCGATTTAGCGATGCCATATAGTTTTACAAAGTGGAAGCTCTCCCGATAAACGCATTATGCACGCTTAATAGAATGCGTTGGCTAGGACGGAGATCTTGTCTAACCGTGAGCTGAACGGTCGGCAACTATCGCTTCATGGGTGAGGACTCCTAACTCGTATGGCCACTATTAAGGGCACTGACCCGACTCATTCATGCAGTTGGCGGCGTCATTGCGTCACAGCTGTCACCTTAAATTTTTAGCTGCCGAATTTCAGCTTCATCTGAGCTTCATTGATCCAACACCAGTTAGCTGGTTGGTTCATCGCATCCAATTTGTGACTAAGCCTTCTCTGGTCTTCCATTTCTCGATGACCGACACCATAGTAGCTGAAACTAACATATTTTTTGGTGCATGGTTTGTGGGTGATAAGCAGAACCCTGGACAAGGTGAGTGCTGAATCGTGCAAGTGCGGTTAGTGCGCCTGTCCTTAGGAACGGGATCTTTTATCCGTACAATATGTCACTATAAGTTATTTTACCTAAGTATTAGTCAGATGGTACTTTATTGATGGGGTCTAGCATACCAGACGTGTGCATTAAAATGGCTACTGGCTGCAAATTACTGCCGGATGTCTGCACATGGTTGGACAGATTTCTGCCCACATGTTGTTTAAAAAATCAGATAGGGTACTCGTTGACTCTTGATAGTTGAATGTTTCCAGCATGTTGAAGGCATTCGCGCTGGTCCTCCATCGTTATGATGTCTGGTTGTCTACAAATTCGTTCATCGAAACTGAACAAAGTCTTCTGAAGACCTAATTTTGTGTTGTGCTTTTGACTGACGACAAAGAATTGTGTCCGTTGCTCCTTCAATCCAAGGCAAAACTGTTCGATCTAAGTAGCACCCAAGCAATCAATTCAAGTACGGTTCTTCGTTCCCATCAAACCACCTGCGCACAATTATCATAAATGTCTAGTCATTTATGACAGCCACACCCAAGTTAGGCTTTCTTATATTGGCAAGAAATCACGTTGTGCCTGGTTTGATTGTTTCAACCTGTATTTTGGTATTCACTGTGAATCAGGTAAAGGCGCCTTGGATATTGCACAGCATTGTAACTAAGTATAAATTCCCCTGATACCGGTTTCCCATTCATTCGATAAGGTAATTGTGCTCCGGTTAGAAAGCATCAGTGGGAGGCTGAGACGAGTTTTCTCCCACAGCCCCTGCTTAAACATCCGATGGCAAAATGATGCGTCATGAAGCTATCTCTTCAAAGCACTAGATATAATGAGAACCCTACTATTTCGTTCAAGTCTGTATTCACCGAAGGCATCACCATAAGCTTGCTTTGATTTTGGAGAAACCTTTGGTATTCATGCACCTATCTAAACGTCTCCACTTCACCTTTAAATAATTCTCATGTATTAACTCAAACAGTTTCAAGTTTTGAGAACTGGCTACTTAAGGCCCAAGTTACAATGAAGCATCAGTGTTCTTAACTGCGTTTGCTGCCAATAATGATGATGATGATGTATGACAGCTTCAGTTTTAGCCTTTAACTAGTTATCAGGGTTTATCGAGGCATCTAGTATCCCCTCAGATTGTCATTCTCGGAGACAAAGATGGTAACATGATAGCTAGACGTCTGTTTCATAGCCAAGTTACATTGTCACTATGTGTGGATAAATTCCATAATGCTCATCTTTGCTCAACCAAACTTTCGACTGTTCAGTGAAACACAACTGCTCACCTAAATCACCGGCGTGTATGCTTACGCCCCCTTTTCATATCCTTATTTGTGTGGATTTCAGACCAGTGCACTGACGCCAAAATCACTAAGCTCATCGCATTTTTAGGCCACAGTGCCCTGCAATCACGGAGCAGTCCGCTATTTTGATGCAGTTCCACGAGAAGATTGAAAACTAAAGATAACGGAAAACTAAGTGACAAAAACGAACGAGTCCCCCCTTAAACGACTGACTTCATGAAGGAAAGATATCCATAGACTGTCCACTTGGTCGAAATATTCAGGATGAATTTCAGTATACTGTAAGCGCCCCTTAACTAGATTAATGATGTCTGGCCCTTCACTAGGCGTTATGTACGGATTCCATTGAGTTTGCGGTTTGAGAAGTCTTTTTGTACTTTCCATTTGTGCTTATCTCTTAACCAGCCAGCTGGACGCTGAATGGCATGAGGCCGATAAACGTGGTTGTTATATTTTACTGAGAACAATGTTGCCTCCACGCCACAGGACGAATTGTATCTGTTGTACCTACTGTCGTCAGCTAAACCGTACTTCCTCCTCTATGAAGACAGAATGGTTTTACCGCTTACAAGTCAGTCTTAAGGGCTCTTAATTCCCCAGATGTCCTCACAACCCCCCTACTTTTCCCTCTCCTCCCGTAGGTGTTGAGCCGGAACCTTTCGAATTGGGGGATCATTTGATTCTTGCCAGTAGCAAACTAGTGCTGCTGGATCTACTATTGGATTATCTGTACAATCCTTTTGAACAGCATCAAACATCAACTCGGCATGTTGGACCTGTTCACAAAGTTCTGATCTTTTCCCAAATGACACGCATGTTGGACATTGTGCAGGATTATCTGACTCTCAAAGGTTCGTTCATTTTTCCACTAAACTTTATGTTTACATATCGTCGGTCTTCAATCTTTCCGAACTTGCTGAAACTAAACATTCGACTTTGAGTTGGCCGCAAATACTTTATGGAATCCGAGGGGTGTATTTATTGTGAAGCGCAGTATTTTATCTACTTATGGTCATTAGTTCTATCCTAATCTTTTGTCCCCTGCTTCCTCTCTTACCTTCGTAATTACTTTGCCACTATAACGGCCATTCTTTTCATGCCTATTTTTCGGTATTTCTGTTGTTGTCTGGTTGAAACTTTCGGCTCATGTCGATCGGATTTGTTGAGCCAGCTTAAGATTGTGTTTACGGAAAGCGCCCTGTTGCTGCCGGTTTAGTTGTCCGCTTACTGTACCCCTCCCTTCCTTACTACCCTCCTCTCCAGTGCACCTGAGGTTCCCGCTCCGGATCGCTTTTGTATGCTGTAGTGCCAAAATGACCTTTCAACACTTGCCCAGTGCGTATTTTATGTTCTGAGTACTAAACGTTCTGGACGTACTCTTCCACCATATATATGACTAATAGAAATGAGGACTTGGAGAGACTTAAAGAACCATACGTACGTGAACAAAAAGCACGGTTTCGAAACACACCCCAAATAAACGTGACAGTTTTTCGAAGTGAATTTAAGTTTTCAAGTCGCGAGTGGTCAGTTTTCTTTCTTACCCCCCTCGAATATCAGGGCGAGTCGTAAGGTAGCAACAGCTGCCTTTTAAAACAAATTTAAGAGTCCGTTCCTCGAGAACATCTCGCATGCCATGTTTTTGGTGATTAGCTGCGTCGGTTTGTTTATCGGGGTACTTGGAGTCTACCAACCACAAGCCAGTCTTGGACTTGGTTGGACTATGTAGCTGTTAGTTACCAACAGAGAGCCTCAGTTAGAGATTACCTTCCCTTTTGGGGCACTCAACTTGACTCCGATTATGCCATCGTGCGAGCTGGGTTATCACTTCGTTTTTCATAGGCATTAGGCATGCCGAAGCAGAGCAACTCCGTTCATCAACTTCGACGAATTTCACTAGCTCAAGAGTATCGAGCTGGCTGGCTGGAAATCTACCGGAAGCACATGATGACTATGAATGCTTGGAGATTGAATGGAGGCGAGTTAAAGAAGCCATGTGCTCAACTTGTAGGACTGTATGTCCAAGCCAAGCGACTCGATCAAATGAGCACTGGATATTGTCGAGATCATCTGATCTTATTGCTATTCGAAAAGTCACACTAGGAGCTAGCGGCCATGATGGCACACACAGGTCCCTTAAACGCCGGATAATCATGAGCCTGAAAAATGATAGAGAACGCTGGTGGATTCGGAAGGTCCAAGAGGTGGAGAACGCTATCGCTGTAGTCTACAGGCGTGCACTTTTTCAGCTGATTCGCTCAACCAGCCAGAAGGAGAAACATTAAGAAGCAATCTGGAACGGCAAATCACTCGCGAAATTGTCGTCCTAAGCGAGGGGTTGAACATTTTAAAGAACAGTTCACATGGCCTCCTTCAACACAATTCCTGAAAGAACTCAACGAGTGAAAGTGGAATATCGCCACCAACTAGCGGGGTTGAACATTTTAAAGAACAGTTCACATGGCCTCCTTCAACACAATTCCTGAAAGAACTCAACGAGTGAAAGTGGAATATCGCCACCAACCGTCCGTCAACAACAGAAATCCAGCGTGAGATATCATCCCGCCAATGTGAGTGTGCCCGTCCCGGATGGTCTGCACCCCGTATATCTCAAGGAAGCCTTAGTGAATTGTCTCACCACCCTACTGCGGAATAGTTGGGACGAAAACAGAATTCTAGTGAAGTGGAGTGATCCGAATCTCCGAAAAGGGTACAAGAACGTCATGCGAAAAACAACGTGGCGTCAGCCTTGGGATCCATCAAATTTACTATGCTCTATGATTTAATATGCTCTGATATCTAATAAAATATTATATATATATATAGTATAATAATATAATACCTATATAGCCTTGTATCTCTGTCACATGATGTGATGCTTGAATTTGTAAAAACCTGTGCCAAACTGAACGAAGCTTTCTCAAATTCCGAATTTCTGTTCGTTTCAATTCTTTCCTCTCTACCGCCGCACTTCGCGTTGCTTTATTCTGTTTTGATGATGCAGTAGTTGATTGTATACCTGCTTTTTCAAAGAAACCTAGCACTTACTGGGAGAAAGAGCACAACAGATGACTCACTGTTTCAGTCCATCTATCAATGAGCGTTCTGGTAGCATGTCAGTCACCCTTATAGATCGACATTATCTCGGCTTTGCATTGTTATTCGTTATACTTTCTGTGTTAACGTCCTTGTGCAAAACTGTGATTTTTTACTTGGGCACAAACGCTTGTTTTCGCTCTATTGTTTGCTCTACTCCTGTTATCCCAATGGTCTCGAAGCCTACCGCTTGTTCCCTTGTAGGCTACTCCTACGAACGTTTGGATGGCTCGGTACGTGGTGAAGATCGAGTTAGCGCTGTCAACTGTTTCAACAGGAGCAATGAGACATTCTTATTCCTTCTGAGTACGAAAGCAGGTTCGTCATGATTTTTCTGCCAACGCTGGCCTTCACTATACTCTCTTACTTTATTGCAACTCTTTCCTAAAGAAGACTTTTGATCCCAGTGGTGTCCTGAATCGCTGCCGGTCATGAAAACAGGATAGCTGCGTCACTGGTTGTGTGGTGCCATTTATCCATATTTTCTAGTAGATTATCACGTTGATCACCAATCACTCCTTCCAGTACACTATCGCGCTGTACCAGCAAGCTTCTTGGCTACATTGGACTCAGTTCCTTTGGTCAGAACGTGTCACCGTAGCGATACGGATTACGAGTCTGAAAATGGATTGGACAATATTTCAAATCGCTCCTTAGATGAAACTTGTAGTAAAAAACAAAATAAAAACAAGTTGTGGAGAGAACACTTTATCTGTGCAAATGTTTCGTCTACACGATTTTGATTTTCCAGCTTAGTGCGCAGTATTTCGGAACCCAACAGCCTCAAGTGACCGAGATATTCCGTTTTTCGCACAAGTGGCTAGCTAGCTACCGTGATTTCCCCGAATCAGTCAGTCGCCTTTTCTATTTTATTTTCCAGGCGGACAGGGCCTGAATCTAGTCGCTGCAGATACTGTCATTTTTATTGATAGTGACTTCAATCCACAAAATGACATCCAAGCAGCCGCCCGTGCACATCGCATTGGACAGACGAAGTAAGTTATCCAACACGCCTTCCTAATCGGTTGAGTTAGGTCTTATTGCTCCACCTGGATAGAGGACTGAACCTAAGCCCATTATTCGGTTCAGGATAATCACAACTAATCTGCATTCAGTTCAACTCATCTTTTCATACTCTTCCTAGAATCAATGCTACCAGTTCTCGTGGTACATAAGTTGGTCGGGAAAATTGACTCTTTTGAATGCAATATCAGCTGTGTTCGAATTCTAGATAGAATAACTTTGTCGAGCGGATGATTGCTTGAAGATTAAGGTGTTTCCCTGGTTTATTGTTTGTCGACTGGACAAATTTTTCGGTTCACTGCATAAAAATGTCACGCCTCTTATGGGCTGAAACGCTGCTAAGTTACCCGGACGTAAAGGGGTGCCATTGATAAGCTGGCGCTGGACGGTGGTCAAAGTGGGAATGAATATGCATTTGGTATTGATAACTTGCCCCCCATTTCTGCATTGCATTTTATTCATTTTGACTGGCGGACCTGAAACCGCGTTCTTCTTTCCTTCACAAAACAAACACCTGCTTTTTGTCAAGCAATACTTTGTCGCTCGTATTTCTAATCTGTTCCTATCCTCTCATTCCAGACCGGTTCGCGTCATTCGTCTAGTTGGCCGAGATACAGTCGAAGAGGCCATTCTTTCTCGTGCTGATGTCAAACTGAAGCTGACTGCCCGTGTTTTAGGATCTGGTGAAATGGCAGTGAAAGGTGATGAAGCTGATATACCTAGCCCCGAAGAAGTATGTGCCTCAATTCTGCTTAACCCACACTAGCGTTTCATTTTCAACGACATTGACTGAGACCTGTTATTGTGTTTGTTTTTAGCTAGCAATGGTACTTAAATTCGGTTTGGCCCGACTTCTGGATAATATGAATTTAAAGGAAGTAGAAGATGCCTCGAGCTTGTCAGACAAACCAGACCTGAACTTCGCCGAAATTTTAGGGGAAACTCATCCGGATACGTGGCACTGGTTGCCACCTCTGCCGGTCGAAGCAAAACTCAACTCGAATAAACAATCGAACTGGGTACTTCTCACCGAGACTCCGTATCAATGCAAAGTTTCCGAAGCTGACTTGCAAGCCGTTGCGCAACTGAAAGAAGGTGCGTTATAACCCCGTTTAATGACAATGTTTTGAAAAACCTTTGGTCATAGTTTCTTGCCATCTGATAATTTTTACAGCATGTTCGTATTAGCTACTTGATGTTGTCATCAAGTTGGCTCTTATTTTCGACAGCTACTCTGTCACCACGAAGTTTGGGCTTCATTCTACCTGCTGTTTTACAGACTGTCTCATCATAGAACGTTTTAACTGGAGTGATCCAAGTGAGATACGTCGCCCCTACATGAGCTAGGGAAACATCCCAGTAAATTTTGCTTCCCATCTAACACTGATAGTTGGATTTGATATCTTTCTCATAGGTATAAGATGAAATGAGCTACGTTCATTTCTCTTCTTAGTTCGTATACATCACAACCGTTAGTGTGTGTCGTTAGGTTCATTCAAGCTATTGTTACAAGGTTACCTCTGTTTTTCACTGTTGTTAGTTTAGAATTTTCGGACCTGTTACTTCTCACTCATCTATTTGTACCGCCCTTGACTGGTGTATACGTTAATCCCTCCCCAGAAACTCCCATGAACCCACCAGATGAGGTTCATAGTTCGCTGATGTGGAATGTTGTAGATACTGACTTCTCTTTGAAAGAGTCTCTTGTGTGGTTTACTGTAATCCAATGCATACAAAACATCCAATGTGGGAATACGAATTGTAGTATATGTACTCGTTTCCTTCCGTTTCGTACATGGTGCCGCTTAAAGAGTAAACAGTTTGACTGCTACAGCTAAAAATGCACGAGTCACATCCGCACCGTAATATCCATATGTTGGTCCGTTTGGATGGTCGTAGATGCCTCACTTCAGTGCTGTTTATGGATGTCATTTAACTAGCACCATGGTCTTTTTCGTATGAGAAAACCTTACCTTTGGGGCTTTCGATATTTACTGATCAACATCTCGGAAAGGCGATATTTTTTTGAGAAAATACTGATCCCATGATCAACCAACTTGTAGGGCTCGGACGCGGTGGTTATGAGCAATGCTTTCGAAAAAATCTCACCTCATGGTTAACATTCCTAATGTTCTAGGTCTTCGGAGTGGTCGGTCTTTATCTATATGACTACTGCAACGTGCAAGTAATTTTGAGAGAAATTGGCACCTTAACCACTGTCTATTCGGATCAGTCAGTGGTCTTCTTAGTTTTTCTCTTATCCTTTTGCCTAGGTTGACTTGCAGCCACGGTCTGCATCCTTAGTTCAGCTATCCTATGCATGCATTCTTTCTACCGCATCTCCGAACAGTGTCATTTGAACAAAGTTCGCTTGTTTCTTTGTGCAAACACATGATTCAACAAATAAGATGAGTTATCTTTCGATTTCTCGCTCACTCAGCGAAGTAAATGCATGTTCTATTTTGGTCGGAGTTATTTATTTGAGAGCTGCTATTGCGGTCTCAGCCTAAACGTCATACAGGTACATCTACTTTCCGACTTTTACGCATACCTGTAGTTTCAGCCGGGAAACCACAGTTACAATGGAACTGGTCTTAAAGACCATTTTGGGTCCAACACCGTGAAACTTTTTTTGTTTAATCCAGCCACCTGCACCGCCGCCTGTCTATGGCTGCAGCAAGTAAAATGCCATTGTATTCTGTTACTTTTTTCCATAACCTTTGGCTTCTTAGCTCACGATGAAGAACTGCATCAAGAACAGGAGGCCGCTGCCGTGGCTGAAGGATACCGTATACGAAGTCAGGGTCCTGTTCCTCCAACTTCACTGTCCTTCGAGAAGCGCCCTAAGGTCGGCCAGAAACAACTGACGCCCGAAGAACTTGCGGAGAAAAAGAAAAAGGTGGGTTGCGTAATACGCGTAACTTTACCCCTCCGAAATCTCATCAGTTCTTTTATCAAGCACTTGTCCATACTTTCGTCCATCTGACAACCTGTGCTATGCTATGAATACTACCAGCTTTTGCTGCGATCTTGCTGCCAGACTTCAGCAATCGGCTGTTCGGCAAAGAACGCATTTAATCCTGTCAATTTCTGTATATTAAACTGTTTTACTTGGAACTACGGAGGTGTTGCCGATTGTCATGAAACTTCCAAGCAGCTGCAACTTAGTTGTTTCCGGATTTAGTGATCGGAAGGTCCGTGGTTCGAACCCGACCTCTGCCTCTGGACTTCCCCTGTCTAGGCTTGGGCAACCTGGCAGTATTCCAGCCCTCGTGCAACCTTCGGGTGGCAGGGCAGCTAGGCACGGAAAGGGCGTTACAACTGAACAATTATTAGTATTATTATTAGTTGTTTCCTGTGTGCAATGAAAACATTGAATCACATAGCCGGTTGGCTCATTTTCCAGGGTTGTTTTAGGAAAGTAAACCTTGAATTAGCCCTCGTTGAATTTATAAATATTCCTATCGGGGAAATTCACTCTTGCACGTTGGAAGTATCGGAAATCGTGCTCTTCCTTCTAGGCACATTTGCGTTCGTACGCTTTTCGCCACTGAGCATTCTTTTTATTCATTGAAATTCGAATTTCACCGTAGGTTTCATCTAAGCAGATCTCGGATCTCTATAGGTAACGAATCCCTAATACACTCAGCCATCTGATACACAGTCTACGTTGAAATGACGTTGCTGTGAACTTTTCTCATGTACCACCAACCTGTTTGTCATGAAACGCAGCTCTGTATTTCCGCTTGTAGCTAACCCACTCCTCATTTTATCAGAGTTTCGAACCATTCAATGTCAAGTCATCACTTTTTATGTTTTCAGGACCATCCTTGTTTAATAAATTAAGGAAACTCAATGATTTAAATCGTTCAAATCATTCCTATTCCGGTTAGTCCACCGATCTGGTGCATAACTAACCTAGTATCAGTGTAATCTTCGAGAGTGACTATGGTGCAGCGTCTCATCTCTCACCGGAAAGCGGTCCTGAGGTCAGTTGTTTCTGTCTGAGCCCGACCTTGCGGAAAGTGATTCATGTCTCGCGCCTCTTGTGTGATACGTGGCTGCTGCCCAACGAAAGCATTCGACAGTTAATCATTATTGGACTTTACGACTTAAGCCATAAAGCTTCCTCGGGTATTTCTCCGACACTGGTCCTCTTGCCTCTTTGTCTACTGCTTCCTTTTGTGCATTAGCACAGACTAATTTAAGGTGCGATCTTTCTGTCTCTCGTTCTACCAAGGCTGAAGAGGCTGCTGAACTTCGGTTACAAAAGGCAGCGGAAGCTGCTGCCAAGCGTGCCGAGAGAAAGTTGGAGAAAAAGTGAGTATTTATTGGCATCGTGTTCCACACATTCGTACAAACACTCAAAAGTTAGTGTAGACCGTTACCTTTTAGCTCTGCTTAGAGACCTTTGCCTGAGCAGAGCGATTAATGTTTAAGAAAAGGTAGGTGACTGGACTGGTGTTGCCAATTCCCTGTTGCCATACCTAGTAGACAACAGCCACCGCACGAACCCTACCCTAGGTCTCCGAACCAGTCACAAAACACTTTTTATCACCGCAAAATCGTTCCATTCTCGTGGCAAAGAACCACTTGACTCATTTTTAGGTAAACAAACTTGGGCCATTCAGGACCTATTCTGTTTCATCTCTCACATGTACCCCTAAAGACGCAGTCTCTTATACAGGGAATCTTCGGTATCTGATGAAGCTTCAAGACTATCCGTTCTTTGATCTAACCTCAGATGTCCACACCCTTCTATAGCTCCAGTGTGCATCCTCTTTACTTCTTCTATCTTGTTATCTGACCTCTAGGAGATATTGACCTTTGTCGTAATGCGCATGTTTCTATATTCCCGTAATCCGTGGAGCCTAATTTGATTTATTTGCTCTGGTTAGTGAGTTAAGGTCCGTAGAACGCAGTATTCTGATGCTTCTCATGTGTGCGGATTACAAGTTTCAGAGGAATTCGTAGTTCAGTATCTCTGAGTTCATTTAGGCTGACATATTCCTCCAATACCATTAATATGATGGCTTTGCTTTAAAAGCTGCTGCTTTGATGAACCAATTTTTCTCTGACCGTGCAGTAACCTCTGCTACTCACATCATGAGTAGTTGTTCTTGTTTATTGTTTAGTAGTCCCTGTCGCGAATACTCTTTGGCGATTCATCTGTCTCCGTGGGTACAAAGGCTACTCGGAAGTTGCATATCTGAATTTCATCCCATAAGAACACCAGCTGGTTCATCTTTTCTGGGAAGTGGATGAATTTGCTTACGTCTTATCCAGGTACTAAGTAACCACACCGTTGGTCCGTCCAAACATCTTTCCAGGAAATTCCGGGTCCGAATTTTCCTGAGTTATACACTGTCGATCAACTGGTTTAACTGTGACGTCACTTCACTTGTGGCGCACTGGTACTGCTACTTTTCGCTTACAACCCTTGATCTCAGGCGTCCATTTGCGGACTGAGATGCTGCGTAGGTTTATATGCAGGAGAACGTCAGAGGCGCTGTTAGAGAATAAGCTTTTTGAGCGGACTTAAGTAAACGCACGTAGAAGCCACAACTCATGCATAGAGATAGGCTCTGTAACTCCTCACACCAAATTTGAATACCGCTTGTGACGTCTTATTTGTCTGATACTCCATAGTATAGTTTAACTTAAAAATGCTTCTTCCCTCATACCTAGTATTATGTAGTAAGCGGCTGAAAGCCTGGCATTAAGGGACTGCCAGTTTCGTTACGTTTAGGGCTTATTCGGAAGGTTTGTATCGTATTTTGGGTACGTACAGTAATTGTTCGAATGTGGATACTACAGGATAAACGTTAATTGCCTTTTCTAAGACTAACTTCTCAGGTGGTTTCACTTATGATTGACCGGGGGCCATGCTTATTCGTGCGATTGGTTTGTATTAGGAACGATCTCTCTTGGAATGCTTACAACGTTTTGCTTTTGATTATTGCGAACGGACGATCCGCTGATAAACGGGTAGGTGCCGGAGTTCCTCTGTTGTGTCCGTGTGACGCTTCAACCACACTGACCTGCTTTTCCGTTTTAGGAAAGCCTTATGGAAATCTGCTGGTTATTTGTCAATGAGCGTCTTTAGGGAGCTTGTCTCTGAAGGCCAAGAAAACCCCGAAACTGGTACAGTTTTGGACGCTATTCTAGTCGAGGATGAAGCCAATCTGAATGAGGAGCCCGGGACTGCAGTGACCATTCATTACGTTTTTGGGGATGCTTCGGAACCTTTGACAAACTTTGAAGAAAACTGTTCATCTTACCGAAAACCAGCGATCGTTTGTTTCAGTGTTGGTATGTTCATCCATTTTTAACCGCATTGGGCACTGTTTGTTTACCTTCCAAAGTGCACGTTCACTTTTTTGAGTTTTTTTTTCATTTCCATCGTTTTATTTGCCACAACAAATGCGTGCCAAGGAATGTAGTGCCTAGCCAATAATCATTTTTTTCCAGAACAGTTTTTAAGGGCGTCTACTTACCCGACTCACACTTTCTCTGTCAGCTGGTCTCGCCTGTGTTGATGTAGCGAGCATACGATGTTCTTTATGTAAGATGTCACTCGCTATTAAGCTTCCCATCGTCAGATTTTTTTAAACAGGAAGTTGGATTTCACAAGGAGTCGCTTGTTCTGTAGGACGTTAGACGGCGAACGTCCACACCTCAGTAAAATGCTGGAACAAGTGTTTCGTTATTTCTGAGGAACCTCATGTAAGTAGGCGCTATAAATCCTCGCTAATCCGGCGCGGTGGCAGGCGAAATATTAGGCAGTTTTACTAATGACTTTGGTAGGCTGTACCGCTCAACCTGTAGTTCTTTTGTGGGATTACATCGATACTTGGTGGTTCATACTAAAATTGACCACTATGACCATCGAAGGGTACCGAACCGAACCCTAATAGCTTTTGCTTTGTATCACGTCATACCACACCTATGGGTGATACTTCCGTAGCCCGTTATACTCCCAATAAATGGTAGCTGTGTGTGGCTTCGGTAAGAAGGTAGAATAATTGCAACCCTGTGCGTACCCCATATTGGACCTTAAACGGTGTTGCGTTTTGTATAACTACTACCCACTGAGCTATACTGGGAAAAGGGTTCACTTGGACACCCGCAGAGTTTCTCACTTAGATGGGGGTCCTCCATATTGGGAGTTTGGACAGACACAGAAAACATATGGTACTCTGGTAGATTGCCAGCATCCAATCGGTGCGTTGCCGCCCGGCTTTTGAGCCAAATGTTCCCGTTGAGAGCCCTAATCGTACTCCTGTCTGGATGTGAGCCTCTTAACAGTATCCCAGCCCGCATGCAACCTGGAACGTCACAACTAAAAATGTTGTCATGCCACACCGGCTGCGACGTAGTCTTATCAACCGGGTCGCTTTCCTTGCAAAATACAACATGTTGGGTGGTCGAAAACGTGCCTTCCTTCTTACACTAACTGTATTATATATGACGCCGTAGGTCTCGAGAGCTTAATTTATTATTCATAACGATTGAGTACGAACACAAAATAAGCAGAGCTAACTGTGCTTAGTATAAGTTAAGAACCGATTTTTCCAGTTGATGGATTTCTCTCCTCTGATTGGTCACTCACAGAAACATTATTTTATGCTAAGTTATTGTTATGGTTACTGAAAGTTTTAAAAAACTTTGATTCCCCACACACCCGATGCAGACGATAGTGGCGGTTGGGCACGTGGTGGCTTCTTCGCGGCGTTGCAGAAGCAGAGTACGAAGCCCCGTGAACTGTACGAGTTGGCTGGTGAAATGGATGACCTTAATATGGGAGATTGTCATTTGATTCCAGTGTTGGATCGAAGTGCCAACACAAACATTCATTCAACTGCGAACATGGTAGGCTTCTTTAAGTGTCAAATCCATAGAGCTTTTCATAAATTGTTTCATACCCTATCTATCAATCACGTACCCACATGTCACCTGTGCTGTTGCTGATTCTGATAGCTGTGCTGTTGACAAATTGGCTCTGAATCCTTGGTGTTAGAATCGCTAACCTTTAATACCGACTTCCATGTTCGTCGTAGTTTATTTTATCCATGTTGACTTAACTGTCCGGCAATACTCATTCTCTACTGAGACTACTCAGCACAATGCATGCCACATGAGCAGAGGTCAGATTTCACGCAGACTGAAGGCAACGTAAACTGGAACGAAATGATGGAGTGGCAACCGTATTTTTAAGGTGAATCACCGAACTGATCCTTTCTAATGAAGTCCAAACTCGAATCTCAGACCAGTCACAACATGCCCATCCTTGGTTTCTCTCGACCGGGCGTTCTCGATCATGAACCCATTTACTGTTTATATAGCACTGATAACCAGATTCTTAGGTATTCAACTCTACTGTTCTTCTTTTAGAACTCCCGGTTAGTCGGGAGCCGTGACATATACAGTGATATAAAATTTTCGTTGAGATTGTCGAACTCCAAACGCTCACTACTTGTGAAATGTCGGTGTAGCGCCCAGATGGTAGTTGGCACTGGTTCACTCGGTAAGTTATCTTTTCCCAACAGAACCACTCAGGCAATCGCTCTTTGTTGTTTTCCGATTCCAGACCTTTAGTGATGTCCTGCTACTACGAGATCGTGAAACTCTGCAATTTCCGTTCCCAGTGAACTTCTGTGGACTTTTGATTGCCCAACAGCACTCCCGTCGCAGCCAGACGAGCGGCAGCCCACCAGATCTACACATAGACTCATTGGAACGGAGTCTCACTGCCCTTGGGATGGCTTGTCGCGCCCTGGGACACTGTATGTAACATTTTGTAGGGGGGGGGGTTGATCTTTCTGTGGCTTGCATAGATGCTTATAGCTCAGCTTCTAAACCGTCCATTTCTTGGCTAAGTCACGTTGGACGAATAGTGTGATTTACTTCATTATTATCCTGTCTTTTTTGTTTTCTCAGATATACCATCCACTAAGAGGAAGCAGAATCCACATGGCACTAGGTTGCGCACTCCCATAAGTTCAGTGTGTATCCGGTCGTTCGTTTTATCCGAGTACTTCGCTTAAAATCCCTCTGCGATGCCTTCAGGTTAAACAACCCTTACATCTCGAGAAATACACTCATTTACAAATCACTTTGGTTTTCACGAGACTCAACTGATTCTCTCGTTTATGATATTCTACTCCTTCTATTCCTTTATGAAGAATATACTGCGATATCTCGAATATCGTGTCGACTGAATCATGAGGCGGCCTGTGTGCAGCACACTCAGTTGTAGAATATCATAAACGAGAGATTCGGTTGAGTCTCTCGTGAAAACCAAATTGATTTGCAAATGAGTGTAGTTCTCGAAAACAGTCCAATTTGGGTTCAAGTAGATCATAAGGTTGACGGAAACTCGGGGA